TTTCCCAAGCGGAGTAGGGAAAGCAGGTGCTGCCCTCCCCACGTGGACCACCAGCTCAAACCAAGGCAGGGCTGTTTATCCAAGCTTAGGAAAATAGCTCCAGCACTGGAGTGATGAGGATTAAAACCAGGATTACGAGTCCAAAAGACACAGACCACGCAGCAGAGCCTCCTGAGCAGGGCACCTGCCCAGCCACTGCTGCCTCTCTCACCACACCCTTCCTTGGGTCCTTGGTGTCAGGGGACTGTGACCCAAATTTTCAGGCATCAGCCACCCAGTAACCCCCCATGTCTGTGTCCTGCTCTCTCCCACGTGGGCAGCCCTGGCCCCTGGACTTTTGGATGCAAACCACCTCAGAGAAGATGTGGAGATGTACACAAGGGCATGGATCTGCCCAAAAAGTTTTACTTCCTGCATTGATGAGATTTACTTGGATTCTCTTAGTTCAGGGGAACAAAGCTCTTAATTTCTCCATCTTCTTGGAGATTTAAATCACTTCTTTTAGTTATCCAGCACTTGTGTGAGGCCTTTTCCCCACATCCCTGTGACCTTTCCTTGGCTTGTCCCCCACAGGCTGTTGGATGAGTCTGAGCTCATCCCATCTGCATGGATGAATGGATGGGCAGAGGAGCCTGAGCCCTCAGGATGACCTGCTGGAGATGCCCTTGGGGTTCATTTCTCTGGGAGGTATCCCAGCTATTTTGTTGGTCAATGCCTCAAAAGCTAAAGGAGCCAGGAAGATGGGAAAGGCCCTTTTTCCACAGCTGGGAGGGCTTTTCCATCAGTGCTGCCTCTGAGATTTCAGCTCCCTGTCCTGGACAGTGGGGTTGGATATCAGTGGGTGATTTGTGTCCTCAGAGCCAGGGAAGCAGTGAGAGCTCAGCACCAGCCCTGGGCACCCTCCCCTGCCACTTTCTGCTCTGCTTTGGGTCTCTGGGCAAAAAACTTTAATGCATTTAGGGAGGCAAATGGCAGTGCAGGCCTTGTAATGAGCAAGTTGAAATCCTTTGGTAAACTGCTCTGTGTGAATGTTGAATTTGTCGATGTATTATCTTCAGAACATCTGCTTTTCTCCATCTGTATTGGTCTTCCCAAAGCCGTGGTTTTCACCAGTTAATAGCAAGAAATATCGGATGAGCAAGCAAATATGTTTAGGGCTTGTATTATGAAGACAACACACAAATAGAAAGAGATTCATCTTTTCATAATGCCACTTTTATAAAAGGCAATAAAAATACAGTGGCTTGTAAGGGGATAAACAGGCTCAATCTGAGCTGGTGCTGTGGGGTTGGGGACAAGAGACAAAGTGAAGGCAACCAAATTAATGCATAAAAAAGTGGAGGAAAACTCAACCTCCGGCTATATTATATGGCAAATGATCTGCCAGTGGGGAAAGATACATCTTAATAGCAGTTTTTGAAACGAGATGAATACTGTATACAGAGCATTATAAGGCGCAGCGTGATCTGAATCTTAATCAACACAGGGAAATATAAATCTGAAAATAATAAAGATGAAATCAATATTGATGGTTAGGAGTAAAAGTGCTGTATTTGCTGTGGTAAATGGTTTTAAGGTCCCAGGTTAAAAATTGTTCTAGAAAAGCCGTGGTAATTTAGTGTAGTTTCAGCAGCTGGCACGGCGCCAGCGCGTTTCGGTGGCATTTAAAGTGTCGCTGTGGAAAAATTTAAAGAGCAGGAGGGGGGGGGAAAGCAAAAAAATCTGCTCCCTGGGCAGTGGTGGTGCTGGAAGTGAGGAGTTCTTTCCGCTGGCCATTGTTGGATGGAACCACCTGCTGGGACATTCCCCCTCTGCTTAGCTATGACTGAGCAGAACAAACCACTTTTCTTGTCCTTTCCAGTGTCTCCAGTTACTAAGAACAAGGCATCAGATTCCTAAGAGGCACAGGAAAACTTTTTTATGTTTGAGATTTTGCTTTAAATGTCTCATTTCCTTGTCCTTGTGACAGATCCCTGTGCTCATGGGTGATGTAACTTATGCTTAACCTGCTTGTCACCTCCTTACTACCTTACACGAAATTTGTTGCTCGAGTGATGGCCTTGTTACCCAGCAGGTACAAACACGAGGCCTGTCAGTGCTCCTGATGTGGGAGCTCTTCACCCCAACCATGAAATCCCTCGCTCAAAGTCACGGGGATTTGGAGAAAGCAAGTTTGGCAAGTAAGGGTGATGAGCATGCAAGTGCTGGGAGATTTTGTAGGGACATTTTTTACCTTCTGCCTTTTTCCATCTTCCTTATTTACATGCCAGGAGCCATGGTGGACTTTTTTAGAGTCACTGTTCAGTAACCCTCTGTGTTTTTTGGGGAAAGCCCTGCAGAGCCCATGCAAAGCAACTGTCTTGTCTGGGAGAACTGGAAGTGCCAACTGTGATGCCCAGACATACATTTTACATCCAAGGGCTCTGAGGTGAAATCTTTGTGTTGGGGCAGCAGCTGTAGCTTTACAAGAGCTGGGCAAGCTGTCATAGCTGCTGGGCCAGAACTATCACCCGGTGGAAACCAGCACCAGAGCTGTCTGGCTGTGAGGCTGAGCCTGGAAGGAAGCCTTTTATTTAGGATAACGATCCTGATTTTTGTTTGAGCGTGTTTGTGGCTGCCCAGTGCTGAGGTCTGGAGATCATCAGAGAGGAGGTAAGGACCGAGGTTGCTGCTGACTTTTGAGATTCACCTACTTACTTGAGTGTTGGGGAGCAGGTTTGGACACAAGTTAGAATTGGGATAGCTTCTGGGAAGAGGCAGAAGCTGAATTGTGGGCTAATCTGGGTGCTCTGAAGTGTGGGAGCAGCGCTACCGTGCCCGTGGTTATACCCTCTTGTTGCTATGAGTGTTGGAGAAACCTGGGGAGCATCTTCTTCACCAAGCCAACATCCCTCTCCTGTTGGAAGCAGGAGTTTGGGCTCACTGGCTCTAAATTCACTGCATCCATGCAACGTTTGCTCCTAAATTGCCCTCCCCAGCTGTTTACCGAGTGCCTTTGCATCACTTGCAGGGTGATGCCTTTGCATCACTTGCCTTTGCATCACTTGCAGCAGCTTGCTGGTGGGAAAAGGGTTGCAGAAATGGGGGTTTGCAAGCTTTCAGGCCTGCCTGAACCACACTGCTCTCAGAGCTGGATAATTTTGTCTCTTCAGAGCTGTGCTGACAAGCACAGCTTATCACAGGTTATTTTTGTGCCCATATTTTCCCAGGGCCTCAGGAGCAACCTCCCTGCTGCAGTGGTTACAGAGGGATACCTGGGGTTTATTCTCTACAAAGGTTGGAAGTGACTCGGGGGCAATGGTGTCCTCTGCATTTAATTATTATTTCTTAAAAGCCCAGGATGGGTGGCTCCCAGTGGAGTTGTGCAGCCTGAATATTGATGGTCGTAAACCACGCCAGAAGGAAAAATGTGGGCTGCTCACTGCTGGCAAATGGACTTTAAATCAACAACCGAAGCAGTGTCGGTTCATAAAACCAGGATTTTTTTAGCCTTGAGGACAGAGGTACTTTAAATCCCAGCCTTCGGGTTCACTGATCTGCTGGAGAACAAACATAAAACTCCACCACGGAGGACCTGACATCAGCACATATTTTTTTGTGCCACGAGCATTCAAGGTAGCCCTTTTGGTTTTTGCTCACTGCATGTGACATTTCCTTGTATTATAATGATCTCGGCGGCAGCAGGAGGGAAAACTTGCGACCCAAATGCTGCAGGAGGGGAGATTATTTACTGTGATAACCACGCTTGTCAAGACGTGGTGGCTGTTTGTGATGGAAGTGGCAGGAGAGCTCACTCCTTGTCAAGCCTGGCAGGACACCACTGCTGATGGATTGAGTTCTCTTTGCCCTTTTACATGTTGCACCAGGTTTTAATTGACACCCAGCCCCTTTACAGAGCTCTGTCAGTTCAGTCTACACGGTGTGTTATGTAGATGAGTTTAATGGGGCTGTTTACCCAGGACAGTATTGACTGCCAGGTTTAATTCCATAGAGGCATGTGCAGCTGTTCAGACTGGTGGAATCTGATCACAAGCCTTGGTGGGAAGGTGTCTGTGGGCTTTGCTTGGGCTGTGATCCCCAGCTCAGCCCCAGCTCCTGCAGTGCTGCCCTGGCACCCTGTCCCTGCCCTTGCCGTTGCTCCTTGATGGGCTCCTGGAAATCCACTCACCTGAATCATGGAATCATTAAGATTGGAAAAGACCTCTAATACTATGAAGTTCAACCATTAATCCAGCGCTACCAAGCTCACTATTAAACTATGTCCCTAAGAACATCTGCTTGGTTTTGGGACACTTGCATGGATGGTGATTCCACCACTTCCCTTGGCAGCCTGTTCCAATGCCTGACCACCCTTTCAGTGAAGAGATCTTTCCTGATATCCATTCTAAACCTCCCCTGGTGCAACTTGAGGCTGCTTCCTCCCGTCCTAGTTCTTGTTACCTGGGAGAAAAAACTGACTCCCACCTTTGGTGGATGGGCTGACTCAGGACATCCATGTGTCCCCTGTGTTTTTGCATCAGTCTGCTCCAGGCCCACAAGCTTCCTCAGCCCTCCTCGGTTTTACCTTCTCTTCTCTGTACTTTCATTCTTTTCCTCCTTTCTTTTTTTCCCAGCACGGCTTCCTACGTGCGCTGCAAAGCCAATAATCTCAGCAGAGGGTTTTCAAACACAGCGCATCCGAAATATGAAAAACAATTTTTTTTTTTCCCCAGCCTGTTTAATATTTCCCCACATAAAATGCACAGGCACATCCGTGTTTATCAGCACGCTGTGAAGAACGGCACAATTTATATATAAATGCTGATTTACATACATTTTAAATCAAACCTCTTGGAAGGCAGAGTGACTTCTTTGCCTGTTATACGCTGGACCAGCAGTTCCCATGTTGCATCCTTGAACTGAGTTCAACCTGCTGGCGGCTTCCAAGGGCTTGAATTTTGCTCTGAGTGTCACCACCGTGAGACCTTAAGTTTTCAGGGTCAGTTTGGTTTCCTCCCCAGGTTCCAGCCAGCAGCGGGGTTGATGGAGAGGATCCAGGCTATAGCTCAGAACGTCTCGGACATCGCAATAAAAGTCGATCAGATTCTCCGGAACAGCCTCCTCAACGGGAAGGGTGAGTGTCCCTGGGACTCCCCATGCTCCAAACCTCTTATGTGTTTTGCTGCTGCAACAGGAAGATCCAGCCAAGCCTACCATGAAAAATTTGGTAAAAGTGCCAGGAATGGATGCAGATATCTGAGGTTTACCTTCCTTGGGAAGCTCGTGCCTGCAGGGGAGAGGAGTGGTGACAAATCTGAATGGCTGTCAGGTAGAAATGCCAGGGAATTAAATGCAAAATTAAAGGTGAGGAGCGGTGCCAGCACAAACACCTGGGCAGAAAAATGTGGTGGTTTGGATCCAAACTCCCAGGGACTGATGGGATTCGGCACCAGAAGAGACATTCCCATCCCGCTCTGGCACTGCTGGGAGGGCAGCTGGGTTATCCAGATGTTTCTCCACGTGGCTGCATGGTTCCTAGGCTTTAGGTGGAAGATCTTTCCATTGCCTCTTCCACCTCAAGCCTTTTCAGTTATGGGCAAAGGAGGGGGTTGTAGGAGGGGTGGAGGCTTTTATTAACCCAACCACAGAGGGAGGAAAGATCCTATTACCTTTTTAGGCACTTTATACCTTTTTCTAGAGCTGACTCTGGGATCTGAGTCTTCTTTCAGCAGCTCAGCAGGACAATTTTTGTTGCAAGTTTACAGCATAAAGGCTGTTGAATGCATCCTTAGATCCTGCTTACAGGATAGGTGGGACTTGGGGTCTGGACCAGGCTGAGGGCAGCAGGGAGGTGCTGTAAATGGACCTGCTGAGATTTAGAAAAGGGCAACACTCTCTCAGCATGGAAGCAGGGTGGATTTCCTCTGTTTCCTCCCTATATCTTGGTGTCCTGCTCCACTCAGTGGGATGGGGCTGGCAGCTGTGGTGCTGATTACCATGCTTGGGGGCTGCCAGACCCATCCCCTCCCCTCCCCTCCCCTCTCCTCACAGCATTTCTGTCTGCCCCACTGGCACATCCTGGCTCTCCCCATGCCCAGTTTTTCTCTCTGCAGTGATGGAAGGCAGGAGGGACCAGTGTGAGGTGCCCAGGGACCCCAAGTACCCTGACTGTGCTGGGAAGGTGGAGGTGAGTCGGGGATCTGTGTCTGGGAGAGGGTCTCGACCTGCAATGGAAACTGCTGGGAGGGGCACAAAGCAACAACCCCTGGGGTTAAACTGGGAAGGACAGTGGGAAGGGGTTAGGGTTTCTGGAATAAAACTGGTTACTTTAATGTGGGAAAGGTGCAGGAGGAGGAGCAGAGCCAAAGATGTGGAAAGCAAAGCAAGGCTGTGGTATAAAGGAGAAGACACAAGGAAGGTGTCCAATCTTCTCTGGGAGCCTTTGATAGAGAAATGTAACTCTTTTTCCCCCAATAATAAGGCTTGTTCCTTTAGTTTGAGTCATGCAAACCACTGAGGCCACAGTACCCAGAGGTGTTCAGGCAGCAGCAGAATCAGCTCTGTGAGACCACCTCTACCTGCAGCCCTCCTTGCCTGGAGTTTCTGTGTTTAAGGCCAGAAGCACAGCGAGGAGGAAGCACTGTCACATTGTCTCTAAATATCTGGAACGTTCCCTGGTGTCTGGGGAATAACCTCAGCACTGCACAGAGCAGCATCTCGTTCAGGTGGCCAGGACCTCCATCTCAAGTAGGATGTCCTGCCTGACCCAACCTGCTCTTTACAACCTGAACGCAGCCTGGCATTTGGCCCAGACCATGATGGCTTTGTCAGAGAGCATATTTACATGAACTAATTAAAAGCATCTCCCTTTTCCCTCCCCTTCTCAACCTCCTGCTTCAAGCTCAGCCTTCTGCAGGGCTGAGTCTCGCTGAAAAGATGTTGAAGGGTATATGAAAATGATATGGGAGGGGGCTGTATTTTTCTCTTCCCCTGGTGCTAGGCATCCTCTCCTTCCACAATTTCAGTAAATTCAGAATGTAATGTAATTGTGGAAGGCTGTAATCCCATCTCCTCTCCTGATGATTGCTGTGCTTTACATATTGGGCGCAGCGACCTGTCTCTGAGTAGATTTGTTTTTGTAGTTGAATTAGGAAAGGGCTGGCAAGAGCTGTTGTGGGAGATGATAAATCGCTGCTCTGGTCTCTGGTTCTTCTCCTCCATGTGAAATCATCCTTGGGGACTGCAGCAGATCCATCTCTGTGCCCCGCTGTGCCCAGGGCAATGAAATCAGCAGCTCCCCTTGCTCCCCAGCCAAGCTAGCGGGAAGAAATCCCTGTGGTATATCATTTCTTGGGGATTAATGGCTGTGCCTCCAGGGAAGGCGTGTGTTGGTGCTGGAATCAGTGCTAGAAATCCACGGAGCCCCCAGCAAACCTTTCTGACTATTCCTCTGCCCTGTGTGCCTTGGAGGCACGGGGGGGTGGGGTCAACACTGACACTGAGACACGGGTGCGGGGTTTGCAGCCCTTTGTCCACCCTCTGCCCTTCATTTCCATCTCCCAGCTAAAGGGGATGGAGAACAGAGGTTTCCCATAGCAGGGGCAACTGGCAGGGCTTCCACATCCCCTCCTGGCCAGAGCATGAGCCCCATGTGTTTCTTTGCTCCCTTGCAGTGGATGAGGGCCAGGTGGACCTCTGACCCCTGCTATGCGTTTTTTGGCGTGGACGGCACCGAGTGCTCGTTCCTCATCTACCTCAGCGAGGTCGAGTGGTTCTGCCCTCCCCTGCCCTGGAGAAACCGGACGGCGGCTGCGCCTTCGCCCCCACCGCGGCCCCCGGTGCAGGTAAGGTGGGGACAGCCTGTGTTCTGCCACTCCGGGAGGGTCTGGGGGGAGACATCAGCTGGAAATAGATGTTCCCAGAGCAGCAGTGTTAGCAGGGCTGTGATGCCTCTTGTGGGTTTTCACAGGATCACAGGATGGTTTGGGTTGGATGGGACCTTTAAAGGTCATCTAGTCCAACCCCCTGCCATGGGCAGGGACACCTTCCACTAGGCCAGGTTGCTCCAAGCCCCATCCAACTTGGCCTTGAATGTTTCCAGGGATGGGACACCTCTCTGGGAAATTCGTGCCAGTGTTTTATCACCTTCATTGTAAAAAATTTCTTCCTTAAATCTAGTCTGAATTGACCCTCATTTAGTTTAAAGCCAGCACCCCTTGTCCTGTCACAATAGGCCCTGCTAAAAAGTCTGTCCCCATCTTTCTTATAAGCCCCCTTTAAGTATTGAAAAGGCTCAAGAATGTCTTCCTGGACCCTTCTCTTCTCCAGGCTGAACAACTCCAACTCTCTCAGCTTGTCTTCATAGCAGAGATGCTTCATCCCTCTGATCATTTTTGTGTCCTCTACACCCACCCCAACATGTCCATGTCTTCACTGAGGAATCTGGGATATTATGAGATGCTCTGGGTGCAATGAGACCTTTGGGTTTTGCTGCATGAAGTGGAGGAGCTGTGGTGGCTCTGGGGAGTGCTGTCCATGCAGGAAGGACCCACAGCACCTGAGCTGCGATGGACAAACCTCCTGCAGCCCCTGGGGCAACCTGAGGGCTCCTCCCCTGGCCGCTTTCCCTACACTCACAGTGCAGAGCGTGTTCCTTTCCTAGGCAGCTTTCCAGAGCGACCTGGCTCACCTCCTGGAGCTGATTGGCACGGGCAAGGAGTCCCTGAGCTTCATGAAGAAGAGGATCCGGCACTTGGCCCAGCAGTGGCTGCGGGCGGCCCGGCGCCTCGAGCAGAAGCTGAAGGGGCGGCAAAGGGACCAGAAACACGTACGAGCAAATTGCACGGCGGGGGCTCGTGGTGTGGAGATGGGAAAGCTGGGCCCTTGGGAGCACAGAGAAGTGGAGACAGCTGGGCTGTGAATGAGCAGGAAGGAAAATTCATTTATGGAAGCACGTGGGCCTGCGAGGTCGGTCTGTTGCCCGTGGATGTGGCTCCACATGAATTCGGGATGTGGCAGGACTGGTGTTGCTGAACAAGGGGGTGGATTTTGGAGTTGGGTCCTGGTGGATGGGAGAAAATGTCCAGCTGGCAGCCAGCCATCAGCAGGGGACAGGAGTCTGGCATGTCTCCTCTGAGGACATGCTGAGGTTGCTGGCCCTGCTGTTGGTGTATTTGTGGTGCCCTTCCCTTCGGTCCCTGTGTGCTGGGAGATCTCCCTCTGCTCTGTGGTTCAGACTGTGATGTAATCAGGAATGTGAGTGTGGTCCCAGGACACAGAGCACTAGACAAGGGGAGCTGGCAAACTCTGACCATTTGGTCTTTGCTAATTGGACACACTTCACTTGCCTTCATCCCTCTCTGATTTCCCTGCATAATTACAGTGTGCGAAGGACCTGAAGGGACTCAGGGACCATAAGTTGTTTCGGACTGGAAAACCCAAATTGGCCCTTTCCCCAGTGCTGACCCCTCTCCTGTCTCTCCAGATCTTGATCCATATTGGCTTCCTGACAGAGGAGTCGGGGGATGTTTTCAGCCCACGGGTGCTGAAGGGGGGCCCGCTGGGCGAGATGGTGCAGTGGGCTGACATCCTGGCTGCCCTCTTCCTCCTGGGACACAGCCTGAGAGTCACAGTCTCCCTGAAGGAGCTGCAGAGGTGGGTGCTGGGTTCTGTGGGTGCTTGGGCCCCCCCTAAGAGGGTCTGCCCCCTGCATGCGTGTGGGTTGCATCGAGGTCTGATGTGAAAGCGCAAGGTCAGAACAGGTTGCATGTGGCTTTTCCCTGACCTGCATCTCAGGCCAGGCTGGTGCTGTACTGGTGCAGACCACCAGCATCATGGAATAGATTTCATCCTTTCTGCATCCCAAGAAAGTGGGAAGGACTGGTGTGAAGTGATGCTTTGCATGGGGCTGCTGTGGACATGCCTCGGGCAGGCACTGTGGTCCTGGCACTGGATCTGAGTGGAATGATCCCCTGCTGCCAGCATGCAGCATCCTGTGTGCTGCCTTCCTGGCATCCTGTCCCCTGACACCTGCCTGGAGCTGGACATGGGAAAGGCTCCCTCTCGCCCATCATTCCCCAGGGATGCTCTCTGTGGGGCTGGTGGCCCCACAGAGAGCAGGATGCAGGTGTCCTGCAGTCGCTGGCTCTTCCCACTGTACATGGCTGCACTCAACCCCCATGGCTTTGCTGGTGTTGTTTGAGCAGTGACTGTGCTCTCTTCCTTCCTTCCTTTCTTTCTTTCTTTCTTTTTTTCCCTCCCTCCCTTCCTGCTCTGCCACAAGGCAAGCAGCTGGTGTGGCTGCCAAATAGAACCTGCATCCCTTGCAGATGGGTGGCAGCACCCGGGGAGTCCCTCCTCAGGAGGTGCTGGGGGTGGTTTGGGGACCTGCAGGGGAATTTGCTGCTTCTGGAGGCACTTCCCACAGAAGGATGGGCTTTTTGTGACGTGGGATATGGGGTGATGCAGGGTGAGAGTCTCCAAGACGGACCAATATTAGATGGAAAAAGTAAGAGGGGAAAGCCAACCACGTGCCACGTTCCTCTCTGCTGATGCAGTTTTGTTATTACCAGGCTGACACTGCTGCCTCTTGTAGCCTCACAAGGTTTCCTTGCCATCCTGAGTGGAGGGCAAGTGCCAGGGAAAATACAAATTAGATGGGTTATAAATCAAGAAGAGCCTGAAGCTGCCTCAGGGACTGGCCAGGCTCTGGGATAGGCTAAGCCAGCATCGGCCACATAATGAGCCGTGCTGAAAAGGGAGTGAAAAAAAACAACAGTCATGGAGAAAAACCAGCACAAAAAAACCCCCCAACCCAGCCCCTGTGGCATTCAGAATTAATGAACGGAATTAGCTCCTGACTAATTAACTCAAAAAATAATCCTGGTCCTAATGCAAGAGGCAGCAGCTCCTCAAAGAGGCGTGCACGTGTCACAGCGATCCGCGAGGTGTGCTGAGCTCAGCTGATGTGCTAAATAACACCCGTGCACTCGGGGATGAAAGAAGTGAATGGCTGGGAGGGTTGTGTTGTTGTTGTGTGGTTCTTGCTTGTGTTTTTTAATGAAGAGCCTCATGGTTGTTGCTGAAGGAGGGGAAGGAGCTGGTGAGTCTTACAGGGGGTTTTGCAGCGTCCATTTCCCTCCGTGAGTGACTGGAGAGCTGCGTTGCTGCCTGTAGTGTTTTGCCTTTCTCAGAAGCGTGGGAGCTTCAACGTCAGTTGGCAGTGATGAGATCTCTTCTGACGTGGATTTGGATGTGTCCCCTGGGATGCCTGGGAACGGCAACTCTATCTCTTCCCCTTTGTAGCTGAGATGGGAAGTGAGTGAACTGGGCTGGGACTGCACATTTTGTCCTCTGTGTCCCAGTGATAGATGCTGTCCCCACCTCCCCAAGAGCGTGTCCTGTGCCTGGCTTTGATGACATTTTAAATGCTGGACACCTCATATCAAGTGCCCACTTTCATATTGATGGGGCTGGGGCCAGTGGAGGCAGGATCTGGGGCTGTAGCCAGGTCCCCTCTGTCCCAGACTGGGCCCAGCACTCACTGGGACCCTCCTGCAGCCCACCAAGAGATGGGTTAATATGGGTGTCAGAAGGGGGGCAGAGGTTCTGCCCAAGGGGGGACTGAGTGGTGCCAGCAATCCTGTTCAGTGCCTGCAGATCTCTCAGCAATGTCCCTGCTCTCGGGCTGGTGGCTCTAAGGAGTGTTGGGAAAAGCTATTGCCTGACCAGGAGCGAGTGGGAGGCTTAGCAGAACAAGTGTAATTAATCCTGAGTCATGCTAATAGTTAATCTTGGGCTCTTTGTTAAAGCCTGGAGGGGACTTTACCTGTAGCCACAGCTTTTGGCAGGGGTTGTTTGATGCTCAAGTGGCTGGAGTTTTGCCTTGCTGTAGACTGGGGCTGAATTTGTCCTCTCCCATCCCAAGTGTCTCTTGCTGAGCTTGTAGCAGCACAGGCACCAGTGTTGGGATGGGTTCAGGGATATTTTGCTCCAGAAATGTGCAGTGTTGAATCCACTTTCTGTGTGTTTTTTCTTTGGCAACTCCTGCTCCTTTCATGCCTGGGAGCTGTAGCTGCTCTGGCCCAGCACAGCCTTTGCTGGCACTCATAAATTATTCAGCATGGATTAACCTCTCTGCTGGTTTGTTTTTTCGTCTGCTCAAATTTCTGAGCTGATTTTTCTGTGAGTATTGATCATTGGCAAGGGATTGCTGGAAGGTTTTGCCTGCATACACTTCAGTGGTTATCTGAGAGCTGTTCATTATTAGCATCTGTATTGATTGCAATGCAGCAGTGCCTGGAGGGGGTGGTCAGGATTGGGTCTGGAATGCTCGGGATTGGGCAAACGAGGAGGAAAAATAAGGCCCTGGTCAAAAAAGCTGGTGATGGAGGACTGGGGATGAAAACAGGCTGTGAGTGTGACTGGGCCTTAAAGATCTGTGAATTCTGCTGCTATGTCCTACCAGGGGCTAATTTTTCTCCTGTAGTTGAACTAAGTTCAGGTGTATTTGTCCTCTTTTGCATTTCTCAGTGAATTTATGAGGTGCTTCTGATGCGTCTTGAGAGGCAAGGGGTGAAACACAGGCTTATCTGGTCCCTTCCAACCCAAACCACTCTGTGACTCCACGTGCAGCTCCCTGGGAGGAAGGCAAACCTTTGAGCTTGGAACAGGGAGCCAGGAGCTGTTTTCCATCTGAGATTTGTGCTGGGTTGGGAGCCAGCAGCATTTTGAGCCCTGTCTTGAAGCAGGGCGGGAAGAAACATCCGAAATCTGAATGCAGACACTTTATTCTTGCTGAAGACACCTTGCCTTGTGTTGGTAGCTCAGAAGTGCTTTCAGGGAGGTGAGAATCCAGGCCGGCGTTCGTGTGTGCTGCTTGGTAGGGGAGGAGTGGGAAGTGCCTGAAAGCCCTGAGCTGGGTTGATAATGAGGCAGCTCATGAGTAGATGTTGGAAAATTACAAGCAGCACTTTGGAGCAATGGTTGTGCCGGCACAAGAGCTGCAATAAGCCGAGGCTTTTCCTCTGGAACACCAGTGCCATGGGGGCAGGCATGAAGGATGTGCTCAGCCTTTGCCCCCAGGAGATGGGGCACTACGGGCAGTGCTGGGACCTCCAGCTCCTACCCCCATCCTCAGGTCATGGCAATGGACATCTTGGCATCTCCAGCTGCTTTTGCAGGGCTAAAGGAGAGGCTTGGGCAGACAGGGCTGTGGTACTGCTGGAACCACAGGAGTGCTGATCTCAATGACGCTGAAAGGTGCTTTTGGCAATGGTCCCCTTGAAATTAACTGCTCATAAGGCAGGACAGAAAGTCGAAGAAAATGGGATTTGATGCCTCGTGGGGTCAGGGCTTTACAAAGTGTTCCTGGAGCTTAATTGCTCCTGTCTCTAGTTCTGAACTCCTAATACCTTCCCTGGCAAGACACTTGGTTTTCAGCACGTGCTTGTATCCTGTGCTGGCAGCCTTTTCCCTGCCCAGCAGTAGCTGTGGCTTGGGTGACAAGCCACACACCCTCCCTGTGCTGGGTGTGTATGGGCTGCATTAGGACTGGCACCTGGTGGTACAAGGCTCAGCTCCTGCTGCCACCACTCCGCCTGGCACACAGTTAGAGCTCCTGTTTTCCTGTGCTCTCCATGCTCACCGAGGTGTGTTCACGCTGTGGAAAGAGCCATTCAGATGGAAACACGATGTCCAGACAAATACATTTCTAATTATTTCCTGGCAGATAAAAGCCATCTTTCTGTCTTGCATCTGTTCACATGAAAACCTGCGCCATGCCCGGGCTCCCGGCCTCACTTCCCCTCGCCAGCTGGCAAACACAGTCCTGCCATTGTGTGGGAGAGACAGGAATTGCTTGTGAAAACAGCCAGAAGTGACCAGTTGCATGTGATCCTGATGGAGCTGCATGGCATGGCTGTGGGATTCATCAGCTCTGCACCAGTGGGCAGGAACCTTCAGCCTTTAGTGGAGCATCAGGTGCTCCTGGTACTTGAGAGCGAGTGTTTCTGGAAGCTGATGGGGCTACTGGGTTGTTCTTTTTCTGGCCAGGCATTGATGTTCTTGCTGGGACATGGCTGTATAAGGGCTGTTGTGGGCTTTGGAAAGGCTGGATTTTTGGTTACAGGGCTCAGGGGGAGCTGAAATGATGCTCATAATTGTGGGTACTCGACAGCTGCAACCCCTTGCAAAGACAGAGATGATGAAGACTGAACTGAGAGGTTACATGGGCACTGGACACAACACTGTGTGTGTTTGAGCTTCCTTGGCTTCTCCAGTCTGTAATTTAATCAGGACATGTTTCCAGCAGATATATCTGGTGGGCTGGAAGGGACCTTGAAGCTCATCTTGCTCCACCCTCCTGCCATGGGCAGGGACACCTTCCTCTAGACCAGGTTGCCCCCAGCCCAATCCAACCCGTCCTTGACACTTCCAGGGATGAGGCAGCCACAGCTTCTCTGGGAAACTTGTACCAGTGCCTCACCACCCTCACAGGGAAGAATTTCTTCCTTTTTTTTAGCTCTGGAGCAGCTGGGACAGCAGGAGACTGCCTGTCTGTCACAGGGTCTGCCCAGGCACCACGAGCATCTGTGTTCGGTTTCTGCTGCTCTCTGAAGGAGCCCAAGTATTTATTTATCCTTTCCTGGGAAGTTACTTCATTATTTGCTGAATCTCTGACCAGAAAAAAAAAAAGTTTGCTCTGGCACCCTCCTGTGCATCTCCAGGCCTTGGAAATGAAGCAATGGATTGCTGAACTTCCCCCCTGGGATGGGTAGGGCTGTGTCATACAAGATCAATGATGGGCCAGAGAAACAGTCCAGACACACCTTGCAAAAGTGAAACCATTGCAGGTGCCTTAAAAATCATGCTGAAATTGCTTGAAAAATCCTTGCTTCTAGCAAGTGTTTATTCTAGCAGGGGGAAGAGCTGGGAGCAGAGGGCAGGCAGTAGGATGTTCATCTTGTGGGCTTAGGTTTGTGCTTTAAATTGGTTGTGATGGGATTGTCACAGACCCCCATGAGCTGCACAGGCTCAGCTCTGGCACCTTTCACCCCTGGATAACATCCCTGTGCTTGCTGGGCTCTTGCAGACATGGAGAAGGTGAGTGAGCAGCGAGGACAGGAGCTTTCCTCCATTCCCCCCTCTGTCTTGCTGATGGCAGCAGATGTGGGCAGAGGAGATGCAATTAAATATAATACAGGATATTGGCCCAGGCTGCCAGGAGATGCCCATGAGATCCATTTAGTGCTGGACTTTGCAGCACCAGGAGTGATAAAGCGTGAAAGAAACGTTGGGTTAATTTGAAAATAGGTCAATGGGATGTAAAGATAACCCCGCAGTCATCTGATTTCTGAGCGCCTGCACCGCGCCCGGGGAGGGAACGGTCCCCTGGTTTGATTAAAGTACCTATAAGAGGAAAATAGCAGGACAAGAAGCTGCTGTAGATTTATTCTGGAGTAGGCACAGCTGGTGGAGGCAGCTGGCGGAGAGGCGAGCTCGGCTCTTGCATCCACTGGATTGAAGCCGCTTCGGCTGCGCCCTCCCAGAGAGGAGCGATGTACTAATCCGGGATGTCGGGATGGGACAAGCCACTGGATCACCATCTGGGGCTCTGGAGGTGCTGAGCCCAGGCATGAGCTGGTCACCACCCTTGGCTGGTCTGGGAGGGGAGGTTTCTCCAGGAACTGGGATCAAGTGACTTCCAAAAACAGGTCTCTGGGCTGCGCCGGCTGAGGAAGCGGCATTTGCGCTCATCAATTTTATTTGCGTAATTTCAAGCGCCATTAATAGTACATGGCACGAGGAAAAATCAGGGAAATTGCACTCCAACCATGAGTGAAATTGGGTTTAGTAGAAAATTAGTTGACTTAACTGGCAAATGATGAAAGCTTGAATAAAAAATGTTTAAATAAGGAGGAAGGAAAAAAAAAATCCCCCCCCCGCCATCTCAGAGGTGCAGCCTGGATTTGCATGACTGGAATATTAAAATCAGTGGTTATAAAGTGTTCGGGGAGGATAAGGGGCGTAAATGGAGAGGTGCTCTGCTCAAAGACACTGGTCCTGCTTTTAGAGCTATTCCTGCCACGCAGTCAAGGCACTGGGAGTATAGATGGATGTGGCAGGTCCCGAGCACCTGGAGAGGAGGGGATGTGTGGCAGATTGCAGTGAGGAAAGGAGCTGGGGGAGTCAGACCTGCTCCACCTAATTGGTGGAAAGTTTTTCGGAGGCTTCAGAATTAATTATGCTAATTGCTGTCTCCCACAGCCCCTCATGAAGCTTGGTTAGGGCTTTCTTAAATTAGAGATTATTTTGTAATGCAGTGGCTCGTGTGACACGTACCAGCTGGAGGATGGGGTGTGCTGCAAGGAAAATGTAATGGTTTGGGGATTTTCACTTAAATACAAGATTTAGAGATTGGCTGAGTTGCTTCACCACAGTTGCCATGTTGGTGTAAATCACTGTTTGGCTGATGACTGAGGAAAAAGCAGCATGTGTGTGAGCAAATCTGATGTTTAGAATTGCATCTCTATAAAACCTTGGGGTTTTTTTACTGGCTTAAAAATTCCCTTTCAGCCTCCCCAGGAGGGTGTCTCCTTGTTGCCCTATTTATCGTAGCGAGGTGGCTGTGGGAGGTGAGAGCCTTTCTATTCCTGCCATCTTCCCAATCAGTCCTGTCGTGTAAAATTGTGCATAAAAGTGACAAAACTGTGACCTGTTCCCCCTGCGGCCGCCCCGGCTGGGCTGCCCTGAGCTGAGGCTGATATTCCTTGTGACAAGAGCAATGAAGCAGCTGCAAAAGCAGCTCTTTGCCTTAAATTGAAATGCTGGGGTTTTCCTGGCTTTGTTATTCCACATTTACACACTTTCTGGGTGTCATGGTCAGAAGTTCGGGATGACCCTTCACCGATCTGAGGTTGGGATGGGGCTGGAAGAAGGATCTTGGTGCTCAGCGCTCAAGGGCTTGCAAGCCATGTAGAATCATGGAATAGTTTGAATTGGAAGGGACTTTTTAAAGGTCTTCTGGTCCAATCCTCTGCAATGAATAGGGGCATCTTCCACTAGATCAGGTTCAGAAGAAGAGGGAGATGCAGCCAGGAGCAGACCAAGAGCCCTTCATTAGTATCTCTTCTGGCCAACCCACTTCTGGCTCCCTGTGACGCCTTCTGATATTGGTGAAGAGTATGAGAGACTGGAGAGCAAATGCTTGTGATAACTGTATGCCTTGGCTGTTCCCCAGGTGGAAGAGCCATTGATTTCCTCTGGAAGCAGCCATGGGCTTGATAGATTAAATGCTGAAGGACTAGGGAAGGGATGAGGACTTCATGGAAGTGCTCATCAGAGGATGGACCCTTGGGCTGTGGGTTCATTTGAGCTTCAGCTGAGCAACAAATAAAACCCAGGTAGGGCTGGAAAGAGGATTCTCATGTTCAGAAGGGAAGATGCAGAGAAATTACAAGAAACAGTAACAGAGCTCACATAAGAGGGAAAGATTCAAAGCCTGGGAGTTTAAGACCTGGCCAGAACTTTTATTCCTAAAAGAATTAAAACTACTTACAGGCACGGTTGGGATAAATTCCCATCTCCAAATAGGTGCTAGGAGTAAATGAAGAGCCCAGAAGAAAACAAAGACAGACGTCTTGGCAGGCAGGAGTGAAGGGTGAGATTTCACAGTGTCTGAGCTCAGACTTGCAAAATAAAACAGGAATTCCTCAGCCCTGCTGGAAGGACTGAGAACGAAATGGGACAACTGTGTGGTGAGAGTGAGACAGCCTGGGTGGACCAGACCAGCTCAGCGGTTTGGTTTTCCATGAGGGTGTTGCTGTTGCTTTTTGGGTGTTTGTGGGGTTATGAGGGTGAGGAATTATTATCTTTAGGAGGAAAAAATTATAGAGCTTTAAAACTGAGGAGCGAAGCATTTGTATTTCTGAACAAACTGGCACTTGGAAATCACAAGTACATGTAACTAGGATTTTTGAGAAACTTGCTGAAGCTGGAAGGTGTCACAGGTTTTTTTCTGAGAAGGAGGAAACGTGGTCCAGACAAGCAGATGGGCTGCCAGTCTGACATCAGTGGTAGACTTAGAGGAACAGCTTTGGAGAGAGGGATTCATCGGTTCAGAGAGGTAATTGAAAATGGAAGGAGACACACCACAGGTTTACCAGCCTTGTATCTTGCTGGATTAATCACATCTCACCCTGGCAGCGAGGTAACTGATGGTCTTGATAGAGATTGCAGTCAAGTTTATCTGGGTTTTCATCCACTGGAGGAGGGAAGAGGGGCTGAGTATGGCTGTTGTAAGGAACTGTTAGGGAATTTTAGGCTAAGGTGGGAGCCTCACAGGCAGAGAGGAGAGGAAAGATGTGGCTTTACAAGTCTGTCACTGATGTGATTGCAATGAAACCAAATGAAATCTGGTGTCTTCAACAAGAGACATCCAAGGGAGTGTGTGTGGTGACTGAGATGGTGGTGAGCCCTGTCTGGGATTGCTGTGCAGAAACCTCACAGTCCATGTGGGAGGAGAAGGAACTCAGCTGGAGCAGGTGCAAAGATGGGGAGGGACCAGGACTCCCCAGATCTTTGGCCAGGAAATAAAAACTGGGGAGAGGAGAACCATCTGCATCCCCCTCCATCAAAGAGGGGTGGTTCCTGTTCAATGCCTGGCAGGGAAATGAGTGTTTGCGTTTCAGGGCTTTCATGGTGCTGGGCCCTGATCCCTCCTGCTTCTCCCCAGTCACTTAGGGGTGCCTCCAGGACGGGGAAACTGCCCCTTGACCAGTCCTTTGCCTTTTGACCTGATTTACACCGACTACCATGGACTCCAACAGATGAAGCAGCACATGGGGCTCTCCTTTAAGAAATACAGGTAAGCAAAGCCTCTGCCTGCTCTTATTCTCCATTTCATTAATTAGCAAGCAAAGACTAATGGTAATGACCTCGAGGGATAGCCCTCCCCATCCAAGGAGCCAGACCCTTTGATTTTACCTTTGATTTTTACCTGGCTGGTGCCTTGCTGTGTCCCCTGCTGCCGTGGCACGAGGCATTCTGCTCACTCTGGATGGAGCCTCACGTGTTTAATATAAAACCTCGTTAAAAGAGACTGAACTGGGAAGAGACCAGCTCCTGCATGTGCCTGGGGGGGTGTGTGTGCTTCCAGTTCCGTGCCTGCAGCCAGGGGTGGGCACACCTCGGAGGGAAGTGTAAGCCTTGTGGATTTGTAAGGAGCCCTGTCCATGGCTCCTTCAGCATCAAGACAAATGTCATCATCCCCTGGTACATCACCAGCCAGGAAAATATGCGATTTAATTTAGTGCTGATAGTCCTGCTATTTATTATGTTTTTTTCCCATCTCTTCCACTATCCTACACAATTTTATTAGAGAGAAAAATGACAAGCTGCGTTATTGCTTTTATTATAAATGCATTTGCTCTCGCATTCAGCTTGTTTTGCTCTCCCCTTGCTTGTTGTTCCCCTTCTCTCCTCAGTCTTGTGCTGGTAGTGCCTGCCTCAGCATTCCCAGGATATTGGGAAAAGCATTAATAAATCTTCAAGAGATTCATCGTTCTCACAGCTGCCGGGGAGTGGAGAGTCCTGCCAGGCGAAATTGCTCCTCGCAGGAAGGAGCAGTGGGTTGGGGAGGGCTCTTCGTGATGCTCTGGGGTGCAGACAAGGGACAAGCTGCCTGGGGACACCAGGTGTCCCTGGAAGTCGGGACTCTCTCACGGTGAGGTCCCGGGGTCCTGTTTGCTCTCCCAGGTGCCGCGTCCGGGTCATCGACACCTTTGGGACGGAGCCGGCCTACAACCACGAGGAGTACGCAACGCTGCGCGGCTACCGCACCAACTGGGGCTACTGGAACCTCCAGCCCACCCAGTTCATGACCATGTTCCGTGAGTGGGGCACAGGGGCACGGCAGGGTGGTTTGGGGGTCTCACAGGTACCACAGAGGCAGGTCTGACCTCCTCCAGCAGGTGATGCACGGGCAGTGCCGTCCCCCCGGCTCTGCTCCTGCTTCCTCCTGTCTGCAAGGAGCTCCCAAGTCTGCTTGGTCACCCCTTGGGCTACAGAAATGATTCGAGGAGAGAGACCAGGCTCCTTCCACCATGATGGGTTGCTGGCTCCAGCACAGTCAGGGCACAGCCAGCAGCTTCCAGCTCCAGGGAAGGGAAGCGTGAGGTGGTTTTGGTTGCAAAGCCTGGTTTGATTTCAGCTGGGATGCTAAAGGTGAGAGGCAGCTCAGTGACCTAGATTTGCCTGTGGCATAGTCAGGAGATGTGCTTGTCTGAAAGGAGCCCAGTGACCCATCGGCTGCTGGATGAATCAAGTGTTGCTTTTTCCTGGCTGGATAAAGCCCCTTTGGCAGCCTTAAAAATGCCTCACTTTGTAAAGAGCCACTTGAGTGGCTTCTAAAGCCTGGATTTCATGAGCTGCTTGGATGGGAATTCATACCATTTTTCCTCCAAGCTCCAGCAAGGCTCTGGAGCCGGGCTCATCCCAGTCCCTGTGCTGCAGTGTGGCTGCATCCTCTACCCCGGGAGGTGCCAAAAAGCATCTGTCCAGCCACGTGTCTTCTCCCCTTGGTACCCACAGCTCACACCCCTGACAACTCCTTCATGGGCTTCGTGTCAGAGGAGCTCAACCAGACAGAGAAGCAGCTCATCAAGTCCAACAAAGTGAGCAGCATGGCAGTGGTGTACGGGAAGGAGGCCAGCATCTGGAAGGTGGGTGTCCTTGGGATGGTGGGGAGAGCCCAGGCAGGCAGGGGTGGCTGCAGGCACAGCTCGGAGGCAGCAACAGCAGCAGCCTCTGGCTTTTCTCTGTGTGTTTGTAGAGGACCATCCTTGTCCCATTCCTGCAGGAGTGATGTGACACATCCAGTGCCTCTGAGCAAACAGGGAGAGGCTGGTGAGACGCCATTCCCTGCTCTCTGCTCTGGGTGATGCTTGCTCCCAGCAGGCTGCTGAGGCTGAGGATTTCAAATCAATGATTTTATGTAATTAATTACAATGATTGCCGTTAATTAATTGCAGTGATTGCTGTGCTATGATGGGGATGGTTTGTCTCTGCTTTCAAGTACCCCATGAAAAGGGATTGTGCTCCCTCCGTCTGCCTGTGCCTGTAACACCTGGGGGAGAGGGTGGGTGACTGTATGGGGACAGCACCCACAACAACCCCCAAAACATCCCCCCTGCATCTCCTACAGGGGCTGTGTGTGCTCCCCCCTGTCTTACCCGGAGCTAGCAAGCTTCTTTTCCTTCCAAAGCTTTAAAAAGGAGCTAATTCTCACTGTCTCTTGATTTATTTCTATTTTTCCCCTTCATGCACCTCCCGGGGCTGCTGCAGTTGCAGGTACTGTACCTCACCAGCTGCTGCTGGGCTTTACCTCTGCGCGTCTTCTCGGGAGAGAAAAGGTTTTGCCGGAGTCGACTTTGCCTTGACGTGGGCTTGGTCAGGATTGATGTGGGTTGATGCAGTGGGGGCTGTATCTCCTCCCTTTCCCCATCTTTCCTGATCAGCAGCCACTAATTAGCAGGGATGCCTGCGGTGGGCCAGGATCCAGCCACACCGTCTCCTCTTTGCTGTCTCCCTAAAAGACCTGCTGAAACCCACTAAATCTCATTTTAGGGAAACTGTAATATCTTATCTTATTTTTCTACCATTCCCCCGCATTTTCCTATCCAGAAGTCGCATTTGAGCTCAGTTAGGTTAATTTAGGAAGGCACTAAAGAGAGTTAAAACCTCAGAACGGACATTTCCCTCCACCCTGGGTGCTGCAAGCATTTGCTCCTTTTAGTCAGAATTCACAAACAACATCAGTTTCCACAAAACTGCATATTTGGAGTCATTTAATACTGTGTGAAGGGGCTGAGGCTGGTCCTTGCTGGTGGCTGTTCCTTGAGGCCAGGCTGCCTTTGCTTTGCTTCGCATCTTGTGCCGCCCCATGGAATAAAATAAGGGGATGGAGAGATTTTTCCTTATTTTGAGTGATTTTGTGGTCTAGGAAGGCAAAGAACACTTCCATCTTCTGGAGTCATTTACCAGCCTTGGACCAAACGCTGTCTTCCAGAGCAGGATGTTTTTGACATTTAGAAACATTTCATTAAACCTGCCTTTCCTATATTTCTCATTTCCTGCCCCTCTGAACTTCTCGCCTCCGGCTTGCAATAGGAGCTGAAGTTTTAATAAGGTGAGAAAGGCTTGGTTTTAGCCTTGGAGAAGTCCAGGGATACATGGCTGAGGGCAGAAATACAGCGTTCAGGGAGGCTTTAAGGCAACATACCCAGTTTTCCCCAATTCCCCATTTATAACTCCTTATTCCCTCCCGGTCTCTGCTCTTTCGGGGCCCATTGCAGCACTGGAACAAGCTGAAAATGCAGTGTCCAAAGGCTGGTCCCTCTGTGGTTTTTTTCAACTAGAAAAAGTTCTGCAATAGAGAAATTGCTAAAAGGAAAGGTTGCTTTGCAGAGCAAAAGCAGGAAAGCCTCCAAAAGAAGAGAATTGATGACCCCCTTCATTTTCCAGGTAGTGAAACAGGATTAAACCTGAGCAAGAAAATCCTGGGGACTTGTTACTAGGAATAAGAGGCTATTAGCAAGGTCTGGTCTTTGCAAACTTCCCTCTGAATCTGCTGAAGTCTTTAATTCAGCAGCTCCAGAGTGGAAGTTGCCCTTGGAGGCAGCAGGGAAGGCAGGAGCTCGAGGTGCTGATGGTCGGGGTGATGGATCCTGCAGTCATCCTGGCTCTCTGGGAGCGTAGGGGGGGGCCAACATGTGTTTACAAGGAATGAAGAGGGGAGGGTGTGGATTTTGCACTGCTGTGGGTTTACCTGAAGCATCACAGGTGCTCTGGAACAGCAGTGTGAGAGCTAAATCTCCCCCTGCAACTCTGGTGGAATAGGTCAGGCCCATCTTCTGGTGCAGTTCACAGCTCTGCCTTCCTCCCCAGGGCAAGGAGAAGTTCCTGGCCATTCTCAACAAGTACATGGAGATCCATGGCACCGTTTATTATGAGACACAGCGGCCGCCCGAGGTCCCGGCGTTTGTGAAGAACCATGGGCTGCTCCCACAGCACGAGTTCCAGCAGCTGCTGAGGAAGGCCAAGGTGGGGGAGAGTCATCCCAGGACCCTGCCCCTCATTACCTGCCTTCCAGCCTTGTAGCTGGGATAATTAGCTGTGAGCCTCTCAGCCAGGATAATTAGCCAGGAACCGAGCAGAACACATCCTTCCAGATCAAGATGTGTCTGATGAGTTTCTCCTTGCAGACTGTCCGCAGGCGGAGCACAAAGTTTCCCGATTAATTCATTTATTGCTAAATGGGGTGTTGTTTTTTTTTTTTCCCCCACCATAGAGCTGTGATAAAAATAAACGGGATTCTCAGAGGGAACGTGTGGGTGCGGGCACATCCCGGTCGCCTTCAGCTGGTGCCTGGGGGAAATATTCTTGATTCACCAGCCCAAGCAGCTTTGGCAAAGGAATATTGCTCCATACAGGGGCAGTGTGGTGGTTGTGACCACCATGGGGGAACTTGCAGCTCCTGGACACCCCGTGGCCCGTGTACAGCTAAGCTGTAGAGCAGGGGGATTTTTAAGCACATCCGAGCTGTGGGATGTTGAACTCCCTTAGAGGCTTGGTGTGCAGGAGCAGGGCAGCCAGAGAGGGATGCTGGTGGGTTATTTGGGAGACTTCCCTATGGGGCTGGCCACGTCCACTCACCAGCACGTGGTTTTTCTCCCTTGCAGCTCTTCATTGGCTTTGGGTTCCCCTATGAGGGTCCTGCCCCGCTGGAGGCCATCGCCAACGGCTGCGTTTTCCTGCAGGCGCGGTTCAACCCCCCGCACAGCTCCCTCAACCACGAGTTCTTCCGCGGGAAGCCGACGTCCAGAGAGGCAAGTGTGGCAGCAGGAGAGTGGATGGGATGGGATGGATGGATGGAGCCAGCCTGGGGAAGAGCAGTTGCTAAACTGAGATTCTTTTTTTTTTTGGGGGGGTTTTTTTGGTGAGATTTCCTCCACGCGCACACGTGTGGATACCTGCAGGTTGGGTCCCCTCTCCTGTCACCACATCATCTCCATCTAGAGCGCTTGGATGCAAGGGGCTGTGCTGTGGGTTTGGGGTTTCCAAGGAGAAGGTGGTGCAGGAGCCTTCTGCAGACCACAAGCCCCAGTTCCTTCCCCACCAGCCCAGATCCACACACCCCCCACACCCTGCTGCCAAATCAGGGTGATGCTCCCTTGTTCATCCCTTTGTCCACATGGAGGGACAGCAAGACCTCCATGTTTTTGCAGGGGTATGAAATCCCTCCCAGGCTTGCTCGTCCCTGGGAATTCAATCTAAGTAGAGCAGGAACTCTTTAAAAGTTAAAGGCTTGAGAAAATTGCCTCTTTTATTATTAATAAAGTGGATAAAGCAGTGCAGTGCTCAGGGAGCGAGCTGGGGGACCAGGCAGCTCAGCCCTGCCACAGCCCTGCTTGGCAGCACCATCATGGGGTGGGGGGCACTGGGCTGTCCTGGCCCCCCATGTCTGCCCTGTGAACCCCCGAATTAGCTGCTGGTGTTATCACCCCTCCCAGTGGGTGCTGTGGTTGTGCTTCAGCCTGGAGCTGGGATGGCAGGCGGGGGTGAGGGCTGTGAAATGCCTCGGGGTGTTTGTGTGCTGGAGGGGAAGGAGGAGATCAGTCTGTTGGGAATGAAATGAGAAAGGACAGCAAGCTGGAGAATAAAACACAGAGCATGCCCTGCTCTCCTCCTCCAGCTGCCAGGGGTTCAGGCCCCTCTGCCATATTTCGTGGTGCCCCCAAAATACCTCCTCTGATCAGCAACCTCTCTCTTCCCTTCCCAGAGGAGATCAGGGCTCTGGCTTCCTCGCAGCCATGTGGGGCTGAAACAAAAGAGGTAGATCCCCAAAAGTCGCCTGGGTGGGTGGCTGTGGGGTACCAGTGTGAGGGCTGCCTGTGGCATCAGGGCAATGCGGTTTCCAGCACTGCTTTCTCCCAGTGCCAGACTTTCCCAGCCTTCAGTGGCAATGGATTTTCTCTCTGCCTTGTTTCTGGAGCTGGCAAACCTGGGAGACATGGTGCCTTCACACACCTTTCCTGCTTTGGTCTGTTTTTGCCGTCCAGACCCACAAATGGCTCAGGTCAAATTTAAATTGTGCTTGTATTATGGAGATATTCAGGGCTGTGGAGGGATTTCAGTGGTGTTGGGAATTTTAGCACATCAGCCTGAGGACAGAGGGCAGCTAGGTTCAGAGGAAACCTTTTTCCAACACCTCCCTGTGTACAAGGAATTAAAACTCATTGTGTCCATGCCTGAGCCTGCTGCTCCTCTGCCATCATGGCTGTGAATGGGACAGAGCAGCTGTTCCAGTAGGGATTGCAAAATCCTGCTGACACTGCTGTGTTTTAGGTGTCCTCCCAACACCCATACGCTGAAGACTTCATTGGGAAGCCACATGTGTGGACTGTTGACTACAATAACTCTGAGGAGTTTGAAGCTGCTGTCAAGACCATCATGAGGACCCAGGTACAGCTCAGAGTGGGTGTTGGGGTGAATTGCTGCTGGGTTTGGACAGCAGCAGCAGTTGCTGCTGCCTAGCTCTCCCTCTCAGGCATTAATTGCTTTTCCTTCCTTGCTTCTCCTTTGGAATTATTTGCATGTGCAAGGCAGAAATCCTCCTCTCCTGCAGCCTCGGGGGGACACGTGCTCCCACTTTGCTTTGGTACCGCGTATCGTCGGCAATTCCCTGGGGCAGAGCTGTGCCTTTGAGGGATCCTCTGGGCAGAGCTGGAGCAAGGGGAAGCTGAAATAAGGCAGATGAGGTTTGGGAGCAGGAGGCTGAGATTGCTGGAGATGTGCAGCGGTGCTGGGATCTGGTGTGATTCAAAGAAAAACCCAGAAAGCATCTCCCTGCAAGCATCCAGAGATCTGCAGACCCCTGTGCCTGCCAGTCCCCCATTTCACTGTTGATCATTAGTGTTCAGATGGAGCAAATCAGTAGGAATAACTTCATGAGTTGCCTCTGTGAAGGATGAAGGGATGTAGGGAAGGGGGGGACATGAGGACCCTCGGGGAAGGCAGCACTCCCGCTGCGCCCGCTCTGGAAACGCTCCCTCATGAATATTTACCTCCTGCCCTGTGGCAGGAGCCTTTCAAGTTGTCCAAATTATTAAAGTCAATTTTCCTGCAGGGGAGAAAAGTGCTGATAGCCATTTTGCTTGCAATTTGCTTCGCCTGAGATGAGCCCTCCCCTCGTGAGGACATTGTGTGCTGTGAAACCAGGGCTCTGCATGGGGCTGTGGGGGCTCAGGATTCACAGTGCTGGGTGGGCTGGGGGGGGGGACAGGGGTGATGCTGGTCAGAGAGGTGACACCTAAGCTTTTCCCTGCATTGGAGGCTGCAGAGGTGGGTGTCTGTGACAGTTTGGGGGCTACATTCAGCTGCTGTGGCCATGCCATCAGCCCGGGTCTCTCACCTCATCGCAGGCGGTTGCCGCAGCTCTTCACCTCGCGCTCGTTTTCTCTGTGGATTTGCAAAGACAGAACAAACCTAACTTGGGAAAAACAGTTGTTGTTTTGCGCATTCTTCCCCGTATCTCGATTAGAATTAAATTAAAAATAATTACATCCCTGCTGCTGTGCTGCTGGGCCAGCTGTCAGCGCTTGACCCTCCACCATCTGGGCTGGAGACGGCCCCGAAGCAAAGGCAGCGCTGTGGGCGGGCGGCCGAGAGCTGTTTTGGGGAGAGGGAAGGAGATTTTCAGCCTTTCCAGAAAAGAAGAAAGAAAACAGTGAAGCCTGGTGCTGCCATGCTATTAAAATAATTAAAGAATGATTGGAGAATTAAGGAGATTGGGGGGAAAAGGGCTGTGCTGGCTCCTGAGCAGCTGCGCCGCGATGTCGACTGGATGTGTGCCAGGTCATTTAGGTGCTTAATGATAATGTCTGGTTAAAAATAAAGGAACTAGAAAGGATTTTAGGAAGGATTTGGTGGTGTGATGGGAAGAGCTGGTGTGGGGACCCACTGGGTCCATCACCTGGCACTCGCCAGAACATGCCATGCCCATCCCTCTTTAGCCCAAAGACAAGCTCCTGTCTCAGCTCTTCTCCCCATTCCCACTCTTGGACCAAGGACCCCCACCTCTCAGTCCCTTCCCACAAAGCATCCCAGATCCTGGAATTACCATCAACAGCTGAAGGTTGAAGTCCTAAATTTACCTCAAACGAATAAATCCAGTTGCTGACATCCCCCTTGCACTGTGACACACAGTCACTCTGGAGGGGAGTGATTCCTTCCCTCCAAGAAGTTAATCCCACAACTCACCTCTCTGGGGTTTTTAAAGACATTGTATAAATCCTCCCAAAGCAGAGCAGGGAGTGAGTGTGAATAACTTACAGCAACCTCTTCCCCCCCCCCCTTCCTTTTTATCTCTTAAATAGAAAGGTCTGCTTTATTAGAGATGCTGTCAAGGCAATTAAGCCTAAAAATTGACCTACCTTACAGGTTTAAAAGCCTTATTATGGGCTTTGGCTCCAGGAATCCCTGGGTATCTTATTTTTAAAATACTGTTTGTTACAGCAGGAATTGAAAACAAGGGCATTAGCAGGAGGAACAGCAGAAAGCTGGTGGCTGGACAGTTTAGTGTTGTTGTTTTTCCCAACCAGGTACTGGAACTTGGAGAAATTATTTTACTGATTCCTTATTCACACCCCCCCCCCCCCCCCCCCGAAGGTTTTGTTCCTCTGGGGTTTTGTTTTTGGAATATCTAACAAATTTGTCTGTGTTTCAGAATAACCACCATCAATTTATTTTTTTTTTTCTGTCAAAACATTTCATTTCAAAATTACTGGAATGAAATACTATGGTTTTGTTTCCCATCTGCCTGCCTTTGTTTGGAAATACCCTGCCAATTTATTGAAAGGAATGCTCGTATCCAAAATGATGCATTTCCCTTTGCTTCACCAACTCAGACAGATTGAACCTGAAACACAACATTTTTTCCCCTCCTTGACGGGTGGAGACATTGGAAACTGAAAACTGACCTGAAATTGATTTTATTTAGTATTTTTTTGTTGTTGCATGACTGAAAAATCACTTATCCCGCAGCTGTGGTTTTGCATCTTCCAGGCCAAAACTCAGCAAAACATTTTTGGGGGTATGGGATGTTGTGGGAAGCTGTGAGATGCTCTGCCATCAGCTTTTCCTGGTGGCAGTCGTGCTGGGTGCTGGGAACCAGAGTGCCAGGGACTGGGAACCAGGATGCTGAGTGCTGGGAACCACTCTGGGAGCTGATTTCATGAACCTGGCAGTAATTCTGATACAGTCAAGCTGACAGCAAGCTCCTGGTTTGGTTCTGGGGGGGATTTGCTGATGCTCAGCAATATTTTAGTGTTACCTGAGGCTGCCTCAGGCTGCCTGTGGCTCTGCAGCCGGGTCACTGCTGGCAGGGCTGTACAGCACCCCACTTTATACTGCTGACACCCAGGGCTGCAGCTCGGGGTGGGATGTGCCATCCCACAGCTCCAGCCCTGCCCCAGCTCCTGCCAGGCTGACAGAGCTTCCTGTGGTGTGTTAGTGCAAACAGAGCAGTTGGGATGCAGCTGGAATCCTTCACCAACCTAGTTTTGCCTGAAAAAAACTTCTTCCTTCTGGAGAGGGAGCTGAATCACGGCTTGGACGTGGCTTGGGTTTGCAATATGTGGTTTTTTTCCCCCCAGAAAAGCCCTTGTGCGCTCCTCTCTTGTCCTTTTGGAGGTGGCACCTGCTCAGGGTCACCCTGCAACTGCTGGGGAAGGCTTTTGGCAAGCTGTGCCTCTGCCTTTCATCCCACTTGGAGCAGTTCTGGGTTCCCCTGGTGGCTTGCATCCCTGACCTATTTATAAGGAAAACTGAAACCGTGGAAGCACCAAACCCCTCTGTGTCAGAGATCAAATCCTGGCACAGTGACATGGGGCAAAGAGACAATTTGTGTCCCCAAGGGAAAGGTGATGCTAGGAGATTTTCCCAGTGATGGATCATGGCCATTATCCAGGGGTTACAGGCTGGAGAAGGAGAGAGGTTTGCAAGCACCACCATTTTCTGGGCCTTCAGCTTTTTCCATTGTCAAAAACAGTCCTCACACAAGCAATTTAATAGACCCAATATTCTGGTGTAGTGAAGGGAGAAGGCTTCATTATATTAAAGTCAAACATACAGGACTATAATGGAAAATTATACATTTCAGACTATGCCTGAAAGATCGGTGCATTAAACATCACAGTGAAAATAGCTGGTTAAAATGTTCCAGCCTGCTGTTACGTGCCAGCAGAGAATTGCATTATTTTTCTACTTATTTCTCTGATGACGTTTGGATTTTTTTCCCCCCTTTTCCTTTTGAGTGAGGGAGACTTACTGCTCTCTTCCTGCTGGGAACTAGAAAACCAGGGCTCTTGTGGTGGTATCCCCATGGGACACCAGTTTGGCTGATGGAGAGTGCTGGGGCTGGAAAGTTCTGGCTCTGTGTTCCTCATCTTGGGGAAAGGGTGGCAAAGTCCATCTTCACCAACCCCTCCACTCTCTCCCGTGGCGTCCTGTGCATCGTTCTGCCAGGCAGTGGTCTCCACCTCAGAATCCCTCTCTTCCCAGGGCTCTGGGGACATCCTGAGCTTGCAACACAGGGAATGCCATTAAGGATGTGGCTGTCAAGAGGAGGCCAAGCCCGTCAGATTTTAATTAAACAATTATCTTCTCAAAATTGGCATTTTCTATCAGCCCTGGATGCACGAGCTGAATCCTAATGAGACCAGGAGAGGGGAGTAGGGGGGAGTGAGAGGCTTTGGGGGACCCCCTGAGGGGGAGAGAAGCTGGAGGAGGAGCAAGGGCTGCAGAGGGCTCTGCCCACAGGCTCCTGATGCCCTTGTACCCCACAGGGCCATGGGAGTCTGTGGGCAGATGGCATTGCACATGGAGCATCACCTCTGCAGGCACAAGGAGGTTTTCTGCCTCCATCCTGCAGTCATGTTCTGCATCCCACTGGGTACCGCAGTGGAGTTTTGGGGGAATTAGGCTGATTTTTGGAGTTCTGTCTACTCTGTGCCTGGCAAAACGGAGTCCTGGGAAAAGCCCCCCGGTATTGCAGCCATGAAGGCAGTGCTGAGATGAGACTGAGCACTGGTGATGCTGAGCAAGGGGTGGTTTGTCTCTCCCAAATTAGTACCAGGCAGCATCGAGCCCCCAGCCTGGTTCTGTGCAACTGAGATGGGCAGTTCTGCTTTGGTTGTTCCTTTTTTTTTTTGAGGACTCTGCCCCAGTTAACTGAGAGCCCATCAGGAATTCAGAGGCAGGATTGGTGCCTGTCACCGTGTCAGTTCTGATTAGCATGCACATCTGTAATTAGGCAGAGCAGCTGTGATTTCCAGCATGGCTGAGATCTCAGGTGGGATATTTATGGCAGGGAGATGCTTAGAGGGTTCTCAGCAGACTGAGCCTTTGAGCTTGGGTTTGACAGGTACTTCAAAAGGAAATAGCTATTTTGGAGGTGCAGAGCTCAGAAAATAGAAGCAGCAGTGTTTTCTGGATTAATTATCTTTGGGGTGGTTTTGCTTATAATCCTTTTGCATGAATCCTTTTGCAGAGATAGCAGAGGAAAGGGGGTCACAGGACCAGCTCCTTCCATGCCCCAACATCCTGTGGCTCGTAACACCTCTGTAAAAATAAGGGAGCGTGGCAAAATACGTCTTCCCAGGGCAGAAAGTTCCTTAAAAATTAATTTGTTCCAGAGGGAAGTGGGGCATCAGTGACACAGCCCTTGTGGAAATGCTCTTCCCATGGGGAAAATCACTCTGGACCTTGGGACAATGGACATGTGCCAGTCCTGCTGAGGGCAGCGAGCACGGCTGCCTGCTCCTGCCTGCTCCTGCCTCCTGCCTGCTCCCCCTGGAGCCTGTGCCACTGCAGTGCCAGGGACATGCTCGTTTGGGGGATGAGAAGGGTGTTTGCCATGCCAGGATCCAAGGGTGACTTCTCAGGACAGGGAGATGTCGGGAAGTGTGTGCAGGCAGAGTCTCCCGAAGACCAGCAGTGTTTTGTAACCCACACTAAAAATACTCTGTGGTTTAAGTGCTGGTGACTCTGTAAAGAGCATTTATCAACGTGGAAGTGCAGCGACAGCACCGACATCCATGTGGGCATCAATGTTTGCTCCATCCCAGTGTGCAGCCTGCTGCTGCCTCCCTGCCCCATCCCAGCCCGTGCCAGCAGGGACTGGCAGAGATGTGGCTTCCACCCCATCACAGCCACTGGTGCTGGGCAGCAAACCCTCAGCAGCGTGGCAGTGGGAAAAGAGAGATGTTTTTCCAGGTATTGTTCACAACCAGTCCCAGCCCTGGGCTTTTCCCTGGCCAGTTTTGTGGGTTGGAGTGCCAGGGCAGTGAAGCCTGGGCTTTTCTCTCTGAGCAGGCCAAGCCGCATTGAGGTCAGAGGAACAGAGGATGCTAAACCAGACCTGAGGCATCACTGGGATCACTGTTGCTCTGGATTAACTTGGCATCTTTACCAGTCCTGCCTACTCCACAGTATTTTAAAATTCCTCCCCCCTTGCCCCCAGCGCTGAGTGTTTCTTGGGCTGAAACAGTTCATACTTAAGTTCAACGTGACCTATAGCATGGAAACTGATTTGATTTGATATGATTTTATAACTTACCTAAAGTGGAGAAAAGGGAGACTAAAATGGAACAGAGTGATTTCATTTTCACCACTACACAGGCTGAACCCAAAGTACTCCTTCTCCCTCTTTCTCTAGCGCTTTGTGGCTTGTGGGGTTTTTCCAGCCCTAGGATTCTTCACTGCTTGCTTTGGTGGACAGACATGAGCCGTGGGCTTCAGTGGGTGGGAGAGCCATGCCCAGAGCACTGCTATGCTGGGCCACTGGGCTCAGGGGCAGGGCAAGGCTGTCCCTGCTTGCTGCCTGTGCTCTGCTCTTCCCCTTCACAGGTGGACCCTTACCTGCCTTACGAGTACACCTGCGAGGGGATGCTGGAGCGGATCCACGCCTACATTCAGCACCAGGTCGGGGAAGGATCCCTGTCCTTGCTGGGGAACCATCTCTGTTCTCCTGGCCAACCTTCCCTCTTCTCCCTGGGGAACATCCCTGCCCTCCCATGGGCATTGTGCAGCCAGTGCCCTAATTGCAGAAAGCACCCAGGAGATGGGGCTGGGGGAGGTTTGTTGTGAACCAAAGATGCTGGGGGTTGGTGGAGGATCCCTGGGGGTGCTAGGGCTGGGTCAAGGCCTTTCTGCTGCAGAGAATAAGGCAGCACTGGGAGAAGAGGTGACCAATGTGTTTATCCCCCACAGCAGGAGATGCCATCTATGCACACAGGTGACCTCAACCTGATGAGCAAACTCATCATCCCAAGTGTCCTCCTGTCCTACCAGCAGGCTCCCTTCCCCTTCCTTAACATCTCTCCCTGTCCCTCAGCTCGCTGACCCGTTGTCTTCTCTCCCACTAGGATTTCTGCACCACGTCATCTCCTCCTCTGCCTCCCAAGACCAAGAGTCCTGCTATGCAAAGCCCTCCGAGCCCGCTGGTGCTGTCCCCCAACGCCACTCACCTGGTGTGGTCGCCCAGGGCCAGCCGGGACCCCCAGGCCTGGCCCCCCGTGGGCTCCCTGCAGGTGTGGGTGTCAGAGACCCGGCACACGTGCACCGAGACGTGCCGGCGGCACGGGCTGGTCTGCGAGCCCACCTTCTTCAGGTTCCTCAACAAGGAGGAGGTGTTTCTCCAGTGAGTTGTGACCTTCTCAGTGAATTTGGGGAAGGGGCCAACAGCCAGACAATGTTCCCTTTGCTCCCTCCGTCCCCACCACCCATTTTCCTCATGTGCCCCCTAACGAAATCCCGTTGAGGTGCCTTCGTGCCCAAGGCAATGCAGGCAGGGAATTGCCTGTCCAGCTTCATGCAACGACAGCCTTTCCAGGCACGGTTCCGCCTCTCTCCCACCCTGTTCCTCTCCCCTCCTCTGTGCTCTCTGCCGTGCTCTGTGCCTTTCTCTCATTTTTAATGTGTCTCTCTGTAAAACTGCATTTTGAACACACAGCGGTAAAGTTTTAATAGAGTATAAATCTGCCACCGGGCTCCGTGCTGCTCTGTGGGCAATTAAAATGCGAGCCTTGCCGGTGCTGTCACATCGGTCAGGCAGGCGCTGCGCGTCCCAGTGACAGTTTGATGTGATAAATTAGAACTGGGGCTTGGGTTTCACTCTCTCCCCTCCTTGTCCTCCTCCAGAACTTAAAATGAGCTGGCTCAGGGACTGATCAGTTGAGAGGGGTTGGTGGGAGGGTGATGCCAGCGCTGCTGCTCCATCTGCATCTGGGAGGGGGGTGATGTTGAGGTCTGCACTGGGCATTTTTGCTGCTCCTCAGGGCATTTGCTGATGCCCAGCCCAGTTTTCTGGCTAATCCCAGCTAGCAGGGCACATGTGGGCGTCCACTGAGCTCATATCCATTCCAGGGAATGTTAGCTGCTGTAGGAGGTGTCCATGGAGAGTGGTCTGACCTGGTGGTCAGCGAGGGTCTATAAAAGAATCGTAGAATATCCTGAGTTGGAGGGGACCAACAAAGATCAGTGAGTCCAACTCCTAAGATTTCTGTGGGTTTTTATGGGTGATCCTAAGCCACCCATTGCCCATGCAAGGGTTGGGGTGATGTCTGGGCTGCAGGGTTGAGCTGCAAGGTTCATTCCCTTCCTGTGTGGTGTGTTGGGCTGGTGACAAGCACTCAGTTTAGCCAAGGGGTGCCAAGCATAGGTCAGCAAAGATCTGCCCCCACGCTTCACCAAGGAACCTCCCTGGGAAGGACAAAACCCCTTCAGTGAACCCCCAGGCAGGCTCCTCACTGAACTGCCCCTCCTTTGTCCTCGCTCCCAGGCTCAGCATCACCTGCGACAGCACCGAGTACGAGATGAACCATCTGTACCCCGCGGTGGCCGAGAACGTCCACGAGTGCTACCTCCAGAAGGAGCCTCTGCTCTTCAGCTGCGCCGGCTACAACACCAAGTACCGGCGCCTCTGCCCCTGCCGTGACTTCCAGCAAGGACAAGTGGCTCTGTGCAGGGACTGTTTGTGATGGGGGGTGTCCCCACCGCGTTTGTGACGCGCGACGTGCACCGAGTGGCTTTTTCTCAAAGCTCTGCAGCGGACGAGGAGGTGGGACAGGTCCCTCCCGGGGCTCTCTGACTCTGGGCGTTGTTTCATCCACCAGCCAACTGTGAATGACCATGTCCTGAACTTTGGTTTCATTTTTCTTCCCGAGGAGCATCGTCCGACTGCATCCGAACCCACCTGGACCTGGTGGCACTGGGATGGAGTGGTAGGGAGAGAGAGGGGCTGGGGACACCCTTCCCTTCCCTCTGGCAATGGGACAAGCCACCAGCAGACTGCAGTTTCAGGGTTTTCATCCTCTTCAAGCATCCTGAGTTGTTTTATTTATTGATTTTTTTTTTTTAACCCTCCCCCTGACAAGTGGTAAATTAAAGGGGAAGCAACACCCAGCCCTTCTGTGGGAGTTCTTGGGCAGAGCTGTGTTGGGGGGGCACAGGGGGGCTGCTGGTGCCTGGCATGGATGTGGAGCTGGGGAAGGACAAAGCCCGAGGAGAGCAGCTGGGTTGGATGGACATGGTGCCCTCAGGAGGAACCAGGAGGGAGTGGGTGGCTCCCAGGCTTTCCCTGGGCAGTGAGGGGTGGGATGGGCTCCTGGGAAGGATGCTGATTGCTGGGGTGGTGTTCCCAGCAGGGCAGAGGTGCCTAAAGTGAGTTCCCCAGCCCCTCAGGCTGCTCTTCACCCATGCACAGAGCTGTACATCCCTCCAGGGATGCCTGGAGGTGGTGGAGGGGGCATAGGGGCTACTCGGGGTTTGAATGAGCAGGCAGAGAGGAGGATGTGCTGCAGCAGCCAAAAGGAATTACCAGTGTGCAGCAACCAAGGGGAGAGGGAGCAGCTCAGCAGCTGCAAAAGCAACATCATGACTGTGTGCTCCAGATGTTGCCACCACAGGAAACTCCAAGTGATCATCTTCCATGAGTTGTCTTCACTTCAGCTTTCCTTACTTCCATTCCTCTCACTTTGGGGGAGTTTTCCCTGCTGCCAACATTTCCCCTCTCAGCACATCCTCTGCCTGGGGTTGGCACTGGCTGGGGTGACCTGGTTTGTTTTTGTAGGGTTGCTCAACAGAGCAGGGTGTTGCTGTTAAGGTTGGTGCTCAGCCCTCCTGTTTTGTGGAAGTGTTCCATGGTGAGACTTCTGCATCCTGTAAAACATGTGGCATGAAAGTTATGGGCTGGAAACTCCCTCCCAGCCCTTCCCTGCATGGGAGAGCTCCTGGCCCAGCTGGGGAGGGAGGTTGGTGGGGTGGCATCGTGTCCTGGCACTGTCACTGCAGGGTCCCAGGCCCTGGCAGGCTTGTCCCCCATGGCTCGTGGTGGCTGATGGAGAGCAGTGGCACAGATGAGTGCACGAGGCCTTCCCCTGTGACCCAGCTGCTCACTGGAGCTGGGCAGGGCAGCCCTGGCACCTCCAGCATGTCCTCTCCGTGGCAGGTTTTGGGAGAAAGTCCCATTCCTTCAGCTGTGCTACAGCATCGGGCAGAGCCCCACTCCCCTCACCATCTCCCTGCTCTGTCCCCGGGAAGGGTGACACCACAGAGTGCTCGTGTCCTCTGGGCATCCCGACATCTGAGCCTGCAAGCCTGGCCCAAATCCTGTGCTGGGTGAGGCAGGAGGTGGAGACACTGCCATTATCCCAGAGCAGTTTATCATCCTCAGCTCCAAACTGCGTGGGCAGCCTCCATCCTGCCTGTGACGCCAGCCAGGGGGAAAGGATTGATTAAGTAATTTCTGTGTCTTGCAGCCAGCGTGTGTCTAAATAAAAGCAGCGCAAACTTCTCTTAGCAGAGCTGAGCAACAGCACCTTTCTAGGCACCTTTCATCTCAGCCTCAAAGCATCCCCTGGCACAGAGTCCTGCAGCACCCACCCCACCTGCTGCGAGTGGTGGGTGGGCAGGAGCCGGCCTGGGGGGCTTTGCCAGCAGGAGCCACCAACAATTCGCCTCCCAGGGTTGTAAAGACCAATAAAACCTGGTTTTATAGGGGATCTGAGCAAGTTTTAAAGACCAAGAGGCTCGGGATGCCTCTGGAGGCAGCGCCTGTTACACATGAGCTCCCCTGGCAGATTTTTCCACCGTTTCTGCTCAGCTGCCTTTAAAATAGCCTTCACCTTTCGGCAGCCCAGCACTGCCTCCCACCGCAGAGAGTCCCAATTATCCCCTGGCAGGAGCATTTTTCTCCAAGCTGAAATAAAAGGCGGCTGGTTCACCTTCACTGCTGCCATGGGGAATAATGATCTGTCTGGAACCTTGTTGGATCTCAAGTCAGCCTGTAAATTTGGGTGATGTGGCTCAGTAAAGCTTTGGGATTGAGTGTCATGTCTCTGCCCCATCAGTGGGCACCCAGTCCTGGGCGCCTTTTCCTGGGGAAAAGCCTCTCTTGTTGGTCTGTCAGTGATGGCTCGTGGATTCTGGATGTCACAGGGACTGGAGTGTGGGTGCTGGGGGCAGCCCCTCCTGCCTCATCCCATGTGGAGCCCCAGCTGGGAGCAGGGGGATGCCTTGGTCTGTAAAATCCCATGTAGGGGCAAGGTGGAGGCTGGGCTGTTTTGGGAATGCCAGTGCTGGGTGATAACATCAGTTTTGGGTCCAGAATTGCCACCAAAATGTTACGTGGGTGTGTCAGGGCTGTGGGGCATTATTGGGTAATTATTGTTGTAAAAGAGAAGGGACTTTGTCACCTGGAAATACTTTTCTCTGCCTGTTTCTGGCCCTGGCTGTGCCTGAGCAATCACTGGAGCATCCCACTACCTTCCCAAGTTCTTGCCCAAGCAGGTCTCCAGCACTTGCCCTGGTCTCTGTGGCCAGGACACATTTCCATTTGGAAGGGAGGCCTGAGGATACAAACATTAAATTCACAATTTATTAAGTAGGAGCATGAAAGAAACTTAAGGGGAAGCAGAGTAACTGCCATTTGAAAGCAATTCTAATTCCCACAGCTAATTGCAAGGAATAAATCCCCAGCTGGGAGGGGAGGAAAAAGAGGGAAACGGTGTCAAAGCTACAAATAAACCCAAACAATTAAAAATCAAATGAGGGGCTGTCAGCTGCACCCTCCAGTGCTGGTGGATGGGACAGTTTGTTGAACAGCCAGTGTGTGGGGAGCCCCTGGGGTCTCCTTGGGGTGTGGGTTGGACCTTTTGATGGCATCTCTGGTGGCATCCAGGCAGCAGAGCCTCCTAAAGATTTGCAGGGTTTTTTTCCTAACCTGTTTTCTGGTAGCTGTGAAACCAGGACAAGCGTGTCAAAAGAATGATATTGTTCTGGAAATCCATTTTCCTTACCTAGAAATGGAGCCAGGGGCAATTTTTGTTTCTGAGCCTCGCTCTTCTTAGTAATTCCACTCAGAACTTTCTTTCTGGAGTTGGTGGGGGGGTTTTTTTCTCCTGTTTTTAATGTTGATGGCATCAAAACCTTCCCTTGCCAGTGGAGCAGGGGGGTCTGGTGGGAGGGCGGGTGTCCCCTCACAGCATCCTGCTGCCAGTTGAGCACCTCTCCCTGCACCGGCATCCTCCCCTGTGGAGTCAGCCCGGAGCAGCAATCTGGGCTGTAAATCACAGCCGGGGGAGGTAATAGCGCTGCTCGGCTCTTATCTGGGGCTTTATTAGGAAATCGTTAAAGTGGCTTTTCCCTCCTGATCCTCTGCTTATCAGCAGCCGGGCGAAATGGCGAATCGCATCCCCGGTGTGGACAGTCCAGGCAGGAGAAACCCATTTATTTCCCCTAACGGGTTTATCGGTAGATCAAGGAGCTGCTGAAGATGTAAGCACCGGCGGTTATTTCCCCAGGTGATGGATCTAGCTGCCACACAGCCTCCCGGAGCCAAAGCCTGCTGCCTGACAGGAAAGTCTGATGGACCCGTAGTCGGGACTGCTGGCTCATGTATTTCAAGGTCTTGCTTTAATTGAGTCCTGTCTCCCTGGTGTCACACTTTTTTCCTTTTTTTTTTTTTTTTTTAATATTATTTTTTCCCCCTTTAAAAAGACTTCTCAAAATAAACTAATGCATTTAATCTCCTGTCCCTTTCCCTCATCTCTTCCTCCCTTTGGCGAAGCCAGAATTGAAAAATCTGTCCTCAGACTTATTGAGTGAAAAGAGCAGTAAAATCTTTTGCCTTTTTTCTTTCTTTTTCTTTTCACTTCTTTTTTTTTGTTTGTTTGTTTTGTCTGATAGCAGACACTTGGATTGGGGGTGAAACTGCCTTTCAGAGCTGTGGGGCTGAGCATTCCCTTTTTTATCAGCGGTGCCCAGTGACACTCATTGTGGCTCGTTAGTGGAAAACCATTAAAACTCCGGATCGATATTTCCTCGGGAGAGATAAGGCCCATTCAATGTTATACCTCGGGCAGGCAGGGAAATACCGAGGAGCCATCCACAAACCCGAGCAGAACTGCTGAGGGTGCAGCTTCTCCCACCAGTGCCTGGGGTGGGGGGACAGGATGGGACATCCCCCAGGCCAGGGATTGTGGAAGCTGAACCAGGACCCAGCCCTCAGTATCCAGATGTTCTGGAAAGGGGGGAGAAATTAAAGCTTGGGAGGATGGGGAGAGGGCACAGTGTTCTGGGGGCATTAGGTGCCTCTGGGGGGCTTGACCTCTACCCAGGACCCCTCGGCACAGGTGCCACTTGCAAAGGACCTCAGGAGGGCAAAAATAGATTAATAAAGTGCCCATTCCCAACACCTGGGTGCTGGCTATGGAATGCTGGAGGAAAGGGGCTGGTGGGGTGTTCAGCCCACCTCCTCACCATCTCTGAGAGGGCTCCTACCACTTCTCACCCTCTGGAACTCAGATCCCTGTAGAGAGACCAGTTAGAAGCAGGACAGAGGTTTGATTTCAGTGTTAGAACTAGCTGCCAGAGGTATCAGCTTTTCCTCTAAATATAAACCAGAAAACAGGAAATAATGATCTGTCCTAATTTAGTTCCTTTCATCTAAGGATTCAAAGCATCTCACAGCATCACTAAGAAACAAGGGAAGGCTTCACAACCTGCATGGAAATGCAGCCACTTCAGAGGTTTGTGTGCAGCTTTTTGCTGAAGGTTGCATTGCAACCCCTCACTCACCAGCCCCAATTCCTTCCCAAAGTCCCCCAATTTCCTGTCACTGAGACCAGGACCTGGAAAGTCAGCCTGGGAATGGGTGATGTTCTTGCAGCCTGACACCGTGCACAGCTGGCTCAGCGCCGCCGAGCGTGGAGGAGTGTTTATTTAATCAATTAATTGAATTAATTAATTTTCAGGAGAGTGTTGAGAAAAATAATAGGAAGTGCCAGCAGCTCTGCCAGCTGCCTGGCTGTGCAGCAGTGGGAGCAGGGGTATGTATGATCCATACATGTGGCTCAGGGGAACACAGCGAGCCTGGCCATGCAGTGCTGAGGCAAATGTGAATCAGAGAATCATGGAATGGTTTGGGTTGGAAGGGATCTTTAAAGCTCATCTAGTCATGGGCAGGGACACCTTCCACTAGACCAGGTTGCTCCAAGCCCTCTCCAACCTGGCCTTGAATGTTTCCAGGGATGGGGCAGCCACAGCTTCTCTCCATCGCCAGCCCCTTGGTGCATCAGCTCCAGTGCAGCTGCAAGGAAGATGTTCTTTGGCTGTCCCCAGGCTCTTGCAACAGTTCTGTCCCTCTTGCAAAGACTCGTTCAGGTTTGGCCATGAGGTCTAAGCCCCCTTGGTTCCTGTCCCCACACTTTGCCATCTCTGCATCTGGGTCAAACCAGGAGTGGTGACTGGGTGCTGAAGTGGAGCCCAGCTGGCTGGCACTGGCACTGGCAGTGCCACTGCAATCTGTGTGTCATCACACAGCAGTGAAAGTCCTCTGCCCTTCCAGCTGTGCCCAGGTGTGGCCAGGCAGGAACTGGGCTTGGGAGCAAGAAGTTCATAAAAGAAATGTGGGAGGCAACGGATTTCCACACTTAATTAACTCAACAAATTAATCCCAATTAGAAGCTGTAATTGGGATTATAATGGTTAATCATCTTTCCCTCCAAGCCATAACTGCACTATCTGTCTTAACTGTGTTATAGAAGGGGAGGACGTGGAGTGACGTGTCCCTGACACTGGAGCTGCCACCCGGACACAGCCTGGGGGGGATTGGAGTGGGTCTGGTCCCCCAGCATGCTGCTCCCCAGGATGGGGGACAGGTGAGGGGACACCACTGTGTGACCCAGTGACCCCCTGTGCCTGGGCTGCATCATCACCACTTTTCCAAGAACACTGTGAACTCGGCTGCTTGTGCTCTTGTTTGAGGGGTCTCCTACCAGAAAACTAAACTGCAGGGAAATTTCGTGGACTTCTCCACTGCTGTTCTATGCTAAAAAGAGCCTGACTGAAAACATCTGCTTGTTCTTCTTTTCCTGAGCACATTAACTAAGCAGCGTCCTCCCATGACAGGTTGGTGTCAGCAGGAATGTGGAGCAGCCCTTTCCTCCTGCTCCACTCTTGATCACATTTGTTGTCCTACTGGTGCCACTGGGCTCTGAACCCCATGGGTTCCAGTGGCAGCTCAGGACTATGTCCAGCCCTGGCTCCAAATTGTCCCTGCTTCCTCTCCTGCTCCCTAAAGCCCGCCCAGCAAAGCCCCAACACCTCTTTCCTGCACCCCTCTTCTGCTCCTGGAAGCTTCCATCAGGGCTGTTACCTTGGGGAATTTGCTTCTGGAGCCATGGGATGAGAATCATGCCCAGAAGCTGTGACACACCCCCCCACCCCCCCCTCCCCCAGGCACTGGAAAGGTGCTGCCAGTGCCAGTTTGGCTGTGGGTCCTTTCCTGCCCTACTGAGGAC